TGGCCTCCGATGACCGTCCTGACCCTATTAGAACCTCATAATATTTGTACTCCCAATAAAGTCCACGAGGCTTCCTGAACAGCCCCAAGTGCCCAATCGGGCCATAATTGTACCCTCCCTCGCTCCTAGTCGAGTGGTACTGAACGGTACGCGCCCCACTATGCCGTGGAACGGTTTTTCTAACTTTCTTGCTTTCTCGTCGATGCAGGTCGCAAGGTCCGGTTCCGCCAGATCCGCGGCGGCGAGGAGCTGCAGCCCATCACCGCGGACAACAACTACGACTTCAACTACCAGGAGTATCGGCGGCTCAAGAAGCCCGTCAAAGTGTACCCGGTGAGTGCGGCGCCGATAATTCAGAGACGGGAGTGGTTCCAGCTCATTGACTCCCCCTCCTCTTTCCCTCTCGCTGACAATCTCATTGTGTGATCCTCCCTTCTCATAAGTTGCCACGAGAATGAGCGCCGGTCATGGCGATATTGTCGGCAATAAAGCTGTTGGAAGCAGCAAACTTGGGCCTCCCCCACCCCCCTCCCTCGCCTTCTATACCTCTAGAATAATTTTGCTTCTCTGACCCTCTCTGTCCTGTCATCCTTCTCTTTTTCTTTTACAAATGTAGCCCTTGCCCTGTTACCCATCAAAGTCCCTATATAGGTACTGCGCCGACCGAGGCGCCGACTTACGCGAATCTCTAACATCCCGCCCTCTCACTTTCTCTTCTTTCTTCCCCTTCCTCCTCCTTCCACTCTGCTCCATCTTTCCGGGTCTCATCCTTTCTTCTCCCCCTACCCCTCTCTCCATCCCCCGTTCTCTAAGGGGATCATAATTTGCGGCTACTTTTTAGCTCTCGGAATGGCTTTCTCGCGGGCTTTCGCGCTCTTTCAAGAGGCTTAATTCGAATGCCAATTATTCCTCCCGGGCCGCTGCTTGTGAGGGGGTGCGTGAAAGAATGGCGGGGCTCGCTGGTGAGGGCGCCGCGCCGCGCCCCGAGTTGTTAATCTGCGCACAATCTGCTGTGCAAGTGGTGTGTATACTATTGAAACTTGTCTCCTTCTGAGAAGATACAATTAACTGGCGGAAATCCTCGGATACCCTTGATGTTATTGGCGTGTCTCTCTGTCTCTCTCTCCCTCTGCACCACCCCTCCGCTCTTCCCCCCTCTCTCTCTCTCTCCATCGGGTGGCCCCGCCCGCCGTGCAGCCTTCCAGTAGAGGATTAATTACGTTACACACAGACAGAGCTGCTGCTCTCTTGGGCATAATTTCATCAATCGGAACTGATCATTCGCTTCCTCTCTGTAGTAGCCGCCCGGCGCCCAGGCCCCGGTCCAGCATCTGCTTCATCGATGCTCCGAGTTTTCTCTCTTCCCGTCCCCCCGAACATCCACCGTACCTCTCCTTTTCTATGAGGATGAGATCTGCTGTCAGTCCTTCTCTTTACTTTTTCCCATCCCATACGTTCTCTTTTTCCTACTTTCATTTGCTTCTCCCTTGGCCATCCATCCATCTCTCCATCTGTCGGCCTCGCGCCCTCCTGGCCTCCTCTGTTGCAGGGATGGTCTCCCATACAACCTCCCTCCTAGGCTGCTCGGTACCTTACTTTAAGATTTAAATTACAAAGCTATTCGCCCCTGGGATCCCTCGGTCGTGCTGCGCCCCGGGCTGGCCGCCGCTATGGAAGTGGGCGGGGCCGGGCGCGATGCAGCTCGGCGTGCAAAACACTCTGAGCCCCCCCGATGTGCAGGTCCCCTGCGGCCCCCGGGGGCCTACGTCTCACAACCTCCCCATCCTAGCTCCTTTTCCCTTAGTGCACACTGTTGATTATAAATGGGAGGCCGACTTACAGACACACGCACGTACACAAAATTCAAAGTGAAATGTAAGTGTGCACGCACTACTTGCATCCGCTGCAACTTTCGAGAAGTGCAAAACATATGCAGATGTGTGCGTCTACACTCGTTTACATCTATATGAGTAAGGGCAATCGGATGCAGATTTCGACTTAAAAGTTATTAGTGCCTAGCTTAAGAACAATTAACTTTGTAAAATTTGTATTGCGATTGAGTAGAGATGTGCTTCAGAGCACGTCTTCGCTGATCACAAAATTGTCTATACCCATTTAGTGTGCATAACACACAAAAGATGTGCCATTTGTTACTCACTTGGCGTCACGCGCTTCTGCGAGGAGTGGTGGTCTGGTGCGCCTTATGGCTCCTCACGCTTGCCCGCCCCGCCCCGCGCGCTTCACCATGACGCAGCCTCTCCCCTGAAGGGGCTCTCTCGGTCCCCTCGGGGTGCTCCTCCCGGCCTCCGGCTTCGCCGTCCCCAAGTCTCTCGACGACGCCAAGCCGAGCCACGCCCGGCGCCGGGAGAGTCTTCAAGGTGTTCCCTTCCGCCCTTTCAACCGCGCCTCAAGTTTCCGGGAATCCGAGGCTGCAGGTCGCCCCTCTGTCAACCCCCTCTACCCCGGCCAGGATACCCATCCTTCCTCTCCCCTCCTACACCCCCACCCGCTCACCCTTGCTATTCAGACGACTTCTGAATGTCGCAGAAATCTTGGCTCGGCACGCAAGTGGAAAACAATTAAAAAGCCTTGCTCCCTTTTCTGTGCCGGCTCTTT